TTACAGAACGTTTTCTCAGCCTCTATTGCATAAAATATAACCTTTCCTTTTCCTCCATGAAATGTTAAATAAGAAAGCAGAAGAGATCCCGTTTTGATCTTGGCCCCATCCCATGAGTGCAGGGAGAATGCCATATTGTAACATTTCTCATTTTAGAGTGGGGAGCTCAGATTGTGTGGGCATTGCCCTCACTATGGCTTTTTCTGGAACCAAATACAAAGATTTTCAATTTTAGAGATAGAACTAAAACATATGTATTCCCCCGCAACTTACACTTTTTATATTATCCACTGTTTTTAACAAACTCCCACACACCGGAGGGTTTTTAGCAAGAGCTGGTGATGGGAGGTTATCCAACACACTGCTTCACACTTTCAGTGTTTATAGCACTCCAAAACCCAAGCGAAGAAAGTAAGAATCTTGACCAAAGAGTTTGGCAGATTCATTTTTTAAAAGAAAATGTTTTGGAAGAAAAAGAAAGTGCTATGGAGGGAACAAGCTACATTTCATAACTTATTTGGCTGCAGGAAATGGAATACATGGTTCCATGTTTGATTCACTATTGGGAAAAACTAAACTGTTTGATTTTTAAGAGGATTACAGTGAAAAACCTCCTTATGGTGCAGTAGCATGGACCAGGGGACAGTCCCTGCTTTCATACCTAGCTTTATTACCCTCTGTGTGACCTCCATTTCTGCCTATGCAAAATCAAGGCAGAGACCTTCAAAGATTTCCCAGCAGCACCGCTGTAAGAAAAAGGTTCTTAGGGAATGAGTCCCACATAGACCCTTTGCTGAGTACTAGGCCATATCAGTGTCTGTCAATCTTTATAAAATTTTATAGGTGATATTTGATGGAGGTGGTGTGCAGGGAGGTGTCATTCCCATTATAGTGGCACCATCAGTGATTTTTTTTTTCCTAAAAGGAAGGATCAAGCTGGAAGGTTCAGCAGGGGTCAGGAAGGCAACTGTCCTCCTCATAAAAACACAAATTATATTTGTTGGCAGTCACAGCTGTTCTAAACTCACATTCCCCTCCAGGCAAAGCCTCCAACACTTCTTGCATTCATAAAGGATTTGTTTGAGATAGGAAGCAAGGATGAGCTCAATGACAGAGACAAACAGAGCCTGGAGGGAGATGGAATCCAGTGTCAGGAGCTTACAGGGCACCTTGAGCTTATTTTAATGCCCCTTTTGAGTCAGGTCTCAAGGAACATTCTGAGAGCCCTTGATACATTTTTGTTTCGTCCTCCTGGTTTGACTTCACATCAATAACTCAAATTCCTGGCTATAATGCAACATCTTTCTATGCTGCCTGATAAGTTTAAACCCAAGGAAGGACTGTGGATGGCTCCAGGTACAAACTTGGTCTCTTCTACGAGGGTGCTGGCAAATCTCTAGACCTGGCCCATTCAGGATCCACCCAATGCATAGCACTTTGAATCCCCTCCCTCTTTAAATGGAATTCACTTTGGATACATAAAGTTTACAGAGAATATGACATGTTACATAGTCCCAAAAATGTATGTGGTCTAGCAGAAGACAGAATCACATGTTCGGTGTCACAGACCCACAGTAACATTTCCATGTTAGTGTCGGTTTGTCAGCCAGTACAGAGCAGAACATTAACAATGTTCTTGACTGCAATTTAAGCTTTGTGTGAACTTGCAAAAGTTAATATACCTCTCTGGGTTTCAATTTACTTTTTTTTTTTAGTACCGGGGATCAAACTCTGGACCTAGTGCTTGTGAGGCAGGCAGTCGCATCACTGAGCTAAATCTCCAGCCCCTCATTTTACTTCTTAAAAAGGAGGATCTTAGTGCTTCTATACCCGCAGGGCTTCTACAATTCTTAGACCATACTATAGTACTCAGGAAGATGCAAAATGCTGTCTTATTCACTCAGTGCCTGTGTAAAAGACTGAACCACAGGGAGTATTATAATCAGTCATTCATTGAATGAAACAACTCAAGGAGATTTTTCTCAATGATGGCTGAGAATTGTATCTTACTTCAAGTCCAAGTGATCAGATGTAGCTCATGAAGAATAAGAACGTGGGGCAGAGGCACCATGAGACTGGTGGTCTGACTGGTAGGAGAGGAGTGTGGAGGCACATGATACCTCAGAAGGATTATGAGCAGGGTATGAGGACTGCAAGAAAAGGTCCACTTTGATCCCAACTGCTTCTTATCCTACAGTTTCCTTGGATGTCCTACTCTCCAACTGCCTAAAGCCAATGCTTTCCATTATTTCAGAGCTGCGGCCTGGCTAGTACTTGCCTCTTTTCTTTCAGAGGCCTGAGATTTGCTGATTTGCCCATTATTGACATGAAATTGGTTAAAATCTTTCAATCTCCCAAATGTATTTTGCAAAGGCACATTTTAAACAGCTCAAACTGGACAGAAGCCACCATAATCAACAGCGGCCAGTGACAAGGCAACAGCGGCCAGTGACAGGGCAGCCTGCCTAAGGCCCTTGACAGAGGAAGCTCTTAAATTTTGGGAACATTCTTTGCTCTTCTATGAACACTACCTGGAATTTCTGGTATCTGATTTCTATACAGTAACCAGCACTAAGACAATCTATGTGGTAAATGGGTCCAGCATAAAAGAAACTGGAAGGTGGGATCTCCTTTCCTTTGAAGGAAAAGAAGGATAGGGAGGCAAGGAAGGAGCTCTCTGCTGGTTACTAGGAAGGGCAGGGAAGGAGGTAAGGAGGAAGGAGAGACTCTCATGACGTCTTCCACAGCCTTTCCAGAGAGAATCCCAGGCAAGGAAGGTCACAACCAATTTCTCTTTTGTCTCACAAACCTAGTATCCAGCACCTGGAAGGCAAAGACTTGTACAGACTGAGACATTAGAAACAAAATGCAAAACTCAGAAATCACCTGCCCGTCTAATTCTCGCTTCTCTCCAACAAATATTAAATGTCAATTCAATCAGTATCGAGTCAAGCCAAGTATTTTGCCACAGCTTTCCTTTGTTTTAGAGAAAATGTCTGGTAAATCAAGAAAAACATACCATTTATCCACTAAACTAAAAACAATCCTCTATTATACAATTAACTAAAACACAATTGTATGTAACATAATTATACAAGGCTACAATTACACAAAAGCAATGATGCAGTGTAGATGGCAATGACTTCGTGTAATCAAAAATAATGAAAGCCTCCCTAAATGGAGATTAAGGTATCAAAGAGACCTCATTGGTAAATGTTCCCTGCATTGATCCATGCTTTACAGAAGGCTGTGCTGGTGGACGGAATGGCAAAGTGCCCCTCATTACTGAAGACTGTAGGGGTGGCCACTGGTAGTATTTTTTATTCTGAGACCTTCAAACTAGCACATTTCATGAAGCATGCATTTTATTATCTACTTTTCCAGCTGGTAAAACAAAAAAAAATAAATGAAGTGCAAGAGCCAGGAAGTTGTATGGTTTGTTGATCTTCCCATGTGTAGTGATATTAACACAGACATGAGTGTAAGATTCCACCAAATATGACCAACCATTCCCAGCACCAGCAGGGACCACAATCTGCACAGATGATTTGGATGCCATTCAGCTTTTCATATTTGTGCACTTGCTCTCTACCCAGGCATCTTCCCTGTTCCTGAGTACTCCACCTACTAGACAAATTTGACCATGTTGCATCCAATTTGCACCTAAAGCACGAAACCACTTTCCACGAGTCCACATGGCTCTCCCAGATTGGTCTTGATATGTTCAGACCCAAGTCCACCCCCACACTCACTCGCCATCATAATCAGCTATACTGTCTGAGTTGAAGACAGCATGGATAGTAAGGCATACCACTAATCGCTTACTGCTGAAAAAAAAATGTTGTCATTGTAACCATTACATATAATCGGTTAAAAACCCATCCCTATAGCAGAGATTTTAAATGCAAAATATAGTATTCTGAATTGTCAAAATGTGTACTTACATACCATGCTCCCTCCTAGTTCCATGTTTTGACAGTGCTGTTTTGCAAGATCCCACCTACCGCCATCTTAACCAAGCCCTATGTTGTCTCCTCCTTTAAGATTAAATTTAGTGTCACATACCTAACTTTCCTTGAGAGTCATTCCCAGGGCCAGGGTACTTTGCCCACAACACAGATGTATTTCTTGGTCATTTATCTCACTTTATTTTAATGGAGGATGAATTTCCTGATAAAATATGAACAGAGAAACTCTACCCCCAAAATATAGGTAAGCACTTAGCAGAGAGTGTTCACCCCTTTCATCAATGATACTTGACTGAGGTGAGCAGAATTAGAACAAAGGAAGTCGGTGATAGAGAAGGAACATACCGAATCTTTCAGGAAATTCAGAACCTATGGTTTTTTGACAGTGTGCCCTTAAATGTATAAACTTCCATTGTAAGAGGGATCAGATCCTAGGTGAAATGGAAAGAAAAATGAGCTGTGGCTAGATCTGCAGGTTGCAGAGCAAAAGAGCAGATTCTTGATAGCCAGAGTTTTTTCTCCTCAAGGCCTAAGAAATTATGTGACAGCAAAGATCAGCCACCCTTGAGTGCTGCTCCGCACAGTGCAGCTGGACACTAGCGAAGCCTTGGCTGTAAGGTTTCCAGGGGGCCTGGTGCTTGCATGCTTGTGGTGGAAAGATACCCACTGTAGTGAAGAACGAGATGGCGCAGGAAAGGAGAGAAGCCATCCCTCCCTCCTTTTTGCTTCACTCTTAACTTCAAAGTAATCAAATGTTGTTTATGCATAAAATTTTAATCCTTTCACAAATTTGTATTTTGATTTAATTTGCATATTCCATTTACTGCAAGTCAACATGAAGAGGAACTCCACTAATTTAAACCATTTTTCTGTGGGCCTGAAATCTTTTCAGCAATATTTTCCATTAGGTGACTCAATTATGTCTAATGTGGCTAATGTCGGCGGATCAGAACTTTGCTTAAAGAAAATCATATTTCGAACGGTGAGAATAGCAAGGGGGTAGGATAACAGAGAAGAAGAGACAATAATTACCTGTCTTTGATGCTACACAGATCAATGTGTAAATCACTGAAATTCCCCAGGGAACCTTGCTGAACTGAAATGAGGTCCTTGGGCTGGTTATCAATAAAGATGAGCCTCATGCAGCCTTGGAAAGCCTTAATGGGATTTAAACATTGGGACTCGGTGAGATTGTCGGGGCACCCTGTGGGACAGAGAAAAAGGATGAAGAAGAATGCTGTAACGATCTGTCATCGCTTTGGCGACCTATTGACTGAAGACCTTGAGGCCTAATTATTCTGGTGCTTTCTCATTCACAGCAGTGCACACACTTTTGTTGTAAATCCTACCATCTGCAGGGAGGGGACAGAAACAGTACAGAACCAGAGTAGCCCATCAGTTAATGGGACACTGAAACGTGTGCTGAAGGGATTGAGAGTAAAATTCCATCAAACTTGTTCCATTGTCTTCCTACCGCTAAGCTATGTGCCATTCTTTCACACGGCACCCTTCACTCATCTCAGGGAAGCAATAGGCCTCAACCACTTGGGGATCTCAGCTCTGTCTTGAAGTACACATCCAAATGTACAAGTCGACTCTGAATCACACCTTCAAAGGACATTATGCATTGGGTAAGAAGGGCAGCACAGTAATTATCTGGTTAATTGTTAGCATTAACAGGTTTAGATCCTGAGAAAGGTACACATAGGAACATAATGGTAATTTCGAAATTATGTGCACAGCAAATCCAGGCTTTCAGGATTATGGGTTTAAATGTACATAGTAATAGAAGTATAATGGCACAAGTAAAAGGTTAACAAATACCTTTTTAAATAGTGCTCTTTTTAAAAAATGCATTGCACTGATTTGGCATAGCTTGAAACCAAGGCATAGCTAATTCTCATTAAGGCAGGTAGAGCAATGCAGGTATTTGAGTGCTTGTGTGCTGTATAAACTCCATCTCAATGGCTTTAATAGGTTCTGAGCATATGGGAATGCAAGCTTGAAAACATGGCAATAACCCATAAATAATTGGGAATTATTTCAGCCATCTCTAATAGACAGTCACTGCCCAGCAGCTGGTTAACAGCTCACAGGCATGCCATAAAATGAAGAGAGATGCTACAACTTCTAGTTGGAGCTGTAGAGAGAATTTATGTAAGTTGACTATTATTACTGGAGCTAGTGTTTTACATTTCTTAAGTTTATAAACTATGTGTGGGAGGTTTGTTTAAACATAGTTCAAATCATAGATAAATCGTCCCCATGATCTAGGCCCCCTAAACCCCCTCCAATAGCACTTATTCAAACAATAACGGCTTTTGTGGTTTATCAAATGTTTATTGTACTGTAATTATTCGAAAGCATTTTGGCCAGAAATAAATTCAAGATTGCTTTTCTTTCTCTGTTGCTAAAATAGTATGCAAGACGCATAATTCTACAGTCTGTGAGGTGCACGTGTGGGGACCCCAAGATGCTTCTTCTGACTTTATTTTCATCTCTTTATTTTCACTTGTGGGCCATGGATGACACAAACCTGGATTTGAATTCTTGGTCTACTAACTGCTACTGCTAAGGCTTTGTACAGATTATATCATATCAGCAAACATCCATCCTTTCATTAAATAGGGATATCATTACCTACCTCACAAAGCTTGAACCAAGTGAGGCAAGTCACATAAAATACTTACAGGGGCCACATTAAGTTCATTCTCTTCCTAAGGAAATGTGCTGTTTCTGGGGTGAAGGACAGAGACTCATCCTCCCCCGAAAAACAACCTCAAGGGGTCACTCCACACTGGTTCCTTCCCAGAAGATATGAACATGCATCTTACACTTATTTTCATTTACAGCCTTAACCACATGTCCTTGAGAGCAGAGAAATGAGTGAAATATCCTAGAGTTTGGAGGTAAGAGACATCAGAAGTAAACAGCCTGTGTGTGTGTGTGTGTGTGTGTGTGTGTGTGTGTGTGTGTGACGGGGGCATTGCTGCAGTATATAACTGTATATATGTCTCTCCAATTCCCTAGTAGAAATAGAATTGGTAACTATAGCCCAGACCGCAGTCCATGCCTGCAATAGTTGAGACCAGTTTGTCCATTCCCTGCCATATGGCAGGTGCCATTCTGTGTGTGTGTGTGTGTGTGTGTGTGTGTGCATGTGTGCGTTATGCATATGTAGGTGTGGGGGGTTGGAAATTGAACCAACAACCTTGCACATGCTTGTTAAGTGCGTCACCATGGAGCGACACCTCCAGTCCTCATCATGGAAATTTAAATCCTGCTCTCACTGAACTCTGAAGCAGCTCTGCAAGTGAGCTTATTCTCTCCTTTTCCAAGTGAGGGATTTAGGGGACTACACAGCAGGGTTAGCCGCCCACTGGGGTTAACTCTGCTTCAGAGATAGTTTCTGTAATATACAAAACTGATCGAGAAATCAGATAGCATAATAAGATAAACACATTCAAAAGACCAAAATAAAATGTATATGCATATATAAAAATGCATTAGATGCTTAATTTGTTCCCATCAGTTTACTCTTGTATTTTTGTCACTGAAACATTTCCAGGATTCAGAGACATCAGAATCAGGCCAAATCTGCCACCTTCTCCACGTGGAGCCTCCTACCTCCTCCCCTTGCCAGATGCCCCCATTTCAGGGGTGAGGGTTACTTCTGAGAGATGGGAAACTGATACCCAGGCTCAGAATGGAAAGTGGCAGTGGGAGGACCAAGACAGCAGGGCAGCCTGGCTGTCCCCTCATCTGAATTTTCCCTCTTGTGGGAGCTGTAGACACTTAATCCACTTTCTCTCACTTTTCAGCTGAGTTTCTCCTTTCCGATGCGATCACAGAGCTTGGCATAGCTACAAAAACCTCCTGGTTATGTAACACCAGCTCTTCTAGCTGAAGTACTTTTCTCCCTCAGCATTGGCCTAGATAATTTATATTTGCACAGCTGTGAGAGATTTTGCTTCTCACTATTTTGGGCCTGAGTGTGTGTTTGTATGTGGGTTGGGAGAACTAACTGACAAAGCAAGAATCATCCTGGTGAAAATAACTGCCCACTGCCTGCTCCCCGCCCAACATCATCTTCAACTCCCAAGGCTGGAGAGTTTACCTCCAAAGTAGTAGTCACTTCCGGAATAAATCTGTACCCGGGTGAGGTCCTGAGCTGGGGATGCCGCATCATTATCCAGCGTGAGAGCAATGCGGCTCCTCCTGGCATTGACGCTAACCGAGTGCCACAGGCCATCATCCAAGCTGCTGCCTGCAGGAGAAATGGGAAGGGTGAGCGAGGGGATGACGGATCCGGCGGTCTGGAGCACGGCGCTGGTCTCCCAAACTCTGCGGCTGGCGTCTTCTCAGACCGACCCCTGTCTCTCTTTGTCCGAATCCAAACCCCTGGCTGACTCAGGAGTCTCCTTTTGCTTCCATTGCATTCAATTCTCCTCTTGGTCCTTCTGTTTCTTTTTAAGCGACTAAACCATGTCTGATATGTTTGGGGTAAAATTAAAAGTGAAAATACAAAATGTATAAAACAATATATATCTATACCTATGTAGAGAGATAGATAGATTTACATATTTCAACCAAGCACAGAACATAGGTTTATCTATTGATGTGTAGTTGCAGAGGAAAAACATAAAACAAAGAAGCAAACCTCAAAATGAGTGTAGCATTTGGACGGTGGAGTGATAGGCAATTTTATTTTTCTCAGTCTTTTATAAAAGACACTTACAACTTGTTTCTAGTGACCCTAGGCCTCACGCATGCAAAGTAACTGCTCAGCCACTAAGCTACATCCAGGAACAGCAAGCTTTTTTTTTGAAGTGGATGAAGATGAAGGAAGCTGGAGTCCTAGGATGTGCCGGGCAGACAGAGTCTATTTTCAGTGAGAATGCAGATGGGCTCGTTCCAACTTCTTTCCATATCTAATTCCATGCCATGCTGTTAGTGACCAGTCTTCGCAAGACTCTGACTAAGCACCTGCAAGTATTATCAAACCTACTGAGCATCAGGGAAAATTGTGAAGGAAACTACTAGGGCACTGGGAAGGCTTAGGGACACTCATTATTCAAATGTCTTTTCTCCCTGTCCCTTTGTCCCAGATGTCTTTTGTCTTACTGCACACTGCCCTCCTGACCTTACTGATTATGGAAACTTCCTTGGGAACTAACCATGAGGGTCTTGATTATCTCTGAAAACAGCCTCCTCTGCTAAAATTCCATGCTGTTGGTGTGAAGTGCTTGCCGGAAGGAAACAGTCTCCTTAACTGATAATAGACACGAAGACGTCTCTGCAGTGTACAGAGAGCCACAGATTGCTTCACTGGACAGTCCCTTATCATGTCTTGCTATCTGTGAAGCTGCCTTTCTTCTCATCATCTTAGTTATCCCACCTAATGGAGGGGGACGCTGACTGTACTTAAAGCTGAGGTAAGGACTATATCGGAGGGAATGCAGGATAGCTCGGGCCAGTCAGAAGCAAGCATTGATGTTACCTAACTTGAATGCACAGAACAGAAAGTACAGTGGTCACTGGAAAGGACTGTGGGTAGGAACAACATGTGGTCTCCATCCCAGGGAAGCACATAGTTAAAAGGACTAGACACAGGTGAAAAGGGTTAATACCATCCTTTGAGTTCAGGCTAGTGGGATAGACAAGCAAGCTCATAATAACAGCAATGATAGGAATAATAATAATAAACACCAATAATAACAATAGCCATGATTATGGGTGGAACAGTAATATGTGGATAGAAATGAAAGAGGTGTAACTCCTTGTGAGGATCTCAAGAATGTTTCACAGAAATAACTGCTCCTGAGGGGAAGGTCTGAACATGCGCCGGTTTGTAGCTCAGGGAGCAAGGGCTAGGAGAAAGAGACACTATACAGAGAAACCAGTGTCTAGAGGAATAAGCAAGGAAGATGGGAGGATGATCCACCATCCCGGAGCCTGACGTGTCAGGCCAAAGAAGGTTTTGGACAGAATCCTTGACACATGATTTTGGAGAGCGCTCTAAGCAAACCAATTCCATCAGAATTTCTGGGGAAGGGCCCTGAGCCTCTTCACTGTTTTTCAAAAGCTACTTGGGTGATTCCAATGTGTAAAAAACACACTGCGGACTGAAAATGCTGCTTTAGAGCATGGGAGTCCATGAGGGTCTGCACCTTGAGAAGGACCGGACAGAAGGTGCATATTCAAGAACTGTTTCTCCTCTGAGAAGATGACCAGAGTGGGAAATGGTGAAGTCTGGAGGCAGAGCTGGTGTGGGATCTTACTTGAGTTACAGCAGGGAAAAAGCAGAGTCAGAGGTGGATTAAGAGCTGTTTCAGGAGGCGAAAGAAGCCAGCTGTGGTAGATCCTATAGGAGCCACACCTAAGGTACTTGGTAGTAAGAAAGCACTGACAATCGGAGCAGAGATCTTCAGGCTTAAAGTGGTAGATGCAGGGCTTGTGGCCCTGAACTCTCAACTGGCTGGGAAAGCTGCCCAGAGATGAGCAGCTCCAGGCACAGGCCAGCTGCGTTTGCACTAGGGCATCTGTGCCCCGTATGCTCAGTGCAGCCCAGATGCAGGAGTCTGTCTGCATTTTCAGGCAGTTACCTTACAGCCTGCTGCAGCCCTGAACATGTGCCTGGGGTGAATGGTGAACTCACAGGCTTCTCAGTCTGGTGGCCCCATTTCCCCCAAGGGGCAGCTGTCTGAGGAAGGGTCCGGGATTTGGGTCCCGGGCATAGGGACTCTATTAATGAGGCAGAGCCTCTGTCAGGTGTTTCTTAGTGATGAATATTTGACTACTTTGGGAAACATTCGGGGGCATAGCCAGCTGCAGGACTTTCATTGTTTGCTCTCATTTGCATACCTGTTTGAATATATCTGCATAAAATCTAAGATTGTATTTGAAAGTAAGCTATAGACTGGGCTGGAAGGAAGTGAGTAATTAGTTCAATATATAAGGTCTAAATACTCCCTGAGGGACAAGTGCCCTGCTAGGCCAGGACATAGTAAGAAAGAAACTTGCAAGAGGTGTTCCATTATTGGAAGTCCAGCATCCAGGCATTTACAGGCGAAACTGGCCTGAGAAGAAGGCTACTGGGTAAAATCAGGAGAGCAGAAGCCTTAGCTTATGTGCTGCTTCTGGCCCTGCCTCCTTCCTATACCACCTTTGTATCTCTCAATTACTTACAGAGAGTTCTCTTAGTTGGGTCTTTTCTTTCTTGCTTCTGTTTTGTTTTGCTGTTTGTTTTTTTCTGGGGGGGGGTGTCTGTTTTTCCTTTTGGTTGGTGCTTTTCCTAGATGGTCTTCATTCCTTACAGGCGTAGCCCTTGTAAAAACCTCAGCTCTTTGGGGAAGCAGGTAGCTATTAAAACAACAGGTTTTTGTTTTGTTTTGTTTTGTTTTTTTTAATGCTGGAATCTCCAGGGATCATTTTCAAGGTGCAGTTCCTTGAGCCCCACATGAGGCTAAGTCACATTTGTGGTGGTGGCCCCAGGCCTTGGAAGGCTCCAACATTCCCCAGAGATTCCTTTGTGTAGCTAGGTTGAACAGGTCTCCATTAAAGGTATTAAAAGGGGAAGGGAAGCTACTAGAAAAATCTATGACAAGTAGAGGGCAGCTGAACCTGGAATTGATTCCAGGGCATGTGAAATGGCCTGTTCCCTTTAAAAGTCTTCCTTTTCTACTGGGGGATTCTTTTCTACTTCATTGTGTTAATGGACACAAAATTACAGCCCTAGAGATTTTCCAAGCCTTGATTATTAAGAAGACTCACTAAAAAGTACAGGTTGGAGGGCTATTAATTATTCACAAATTAGGGAGAATCAGTTCTATCAGGTTGCTTCCCTTCCAAACCTCCTCAAGATAAATATCATTAAAACATAGAAAATGTCATGCGTATACAGGAAAGGAATACTCCTGAGGCCAGGCTCACCTGGATGGGAAACCACTTCTGGAGCAGGACATTTGGGGCTACCTTTCATCACTAAGCACCCACACAATTTAGGATCTGAGGCTTAGATATTTCGATTTAGGTTCTGGATGAAATTTGGATGGTAATAAGCATAAATCTCTGAAGTGAGAAGAGTTGTTTATCTCCACCTCCCAGACTGGCAAAGAATAAAGGCTGACTATACATCTTTGGGCTCAAAACACAATGCCCCCCAGTATCATGCTGAATCCTTGAACAAAAGAGCCCAGGAACAACCCCCAAGGAAGAGCTCTCTGAGTTTCTACTGCCCTCCTGGCCTTCTTCCTCCCAGAAAGACAGTCATAAAAACCATACTCCCTCTTCCTTCTGGAAAGTTGTAGAAACCAGAACACTTTCTCCCCAAAACAAGCCAAAAACTACACAAAAGTTGCTTTTCCCCCTCATCTTTTGGAGATCCTCACTACAGGGGTCCCAGCCAAAACCTGGAGAGAGCAGAAGCCATGCACAGACTCTGAGCAGAATCTGAAAAGACAGGCATTCCCCCCTCCGTCTGCTATCATTAGATCCTATAATGGTAACAGGCTTTGGTTCAATCACATTTCCACATCCCTAGCCATTCTTCATCTAACTTAAGCAAAAAAATATTTTCCCTAGGTCTTTGGGTCTTTGTTTCTAAAAGCTCCATGTAACCCACAAATTAGATTTAGTAAATTTGCCATGCTTTTCTCTCTGGTTCAGCTGCCTCCTGCCAGTGATCACCAGTGTGATGGGTGGGGAAAAGGATCATATTTTATGCCCCTACTTGATGTTAGTGAATATAGAGGAAAACAGGCAATTTCATATGTTACACAAGGCAAAAAGCTTTCAAATTGGAAAACAATAAAGCAACAGTTGTAAAAAAAAAAATCTTAGTTTTTGTACCTGGGATCAAACTCAGGACTTTGTGCTTACAAGGTAGGTATGGTGCTACTTAGCTAAACCTTATGCATGTCACACATCATTTTTCATGACATTTTGTTCTAGAGAATTACTCTTAAAATAACAAAAGCTGAAGCCAAGATAGATGGCCAAGATACTTCATGGTACTATTATTTATGGCAACAAAAAAGTAAAACTGTCAGTATTTTTAGCAATAATGAGTTAGTTTAGAAAAGTGACGTGCACCTGGCATGGAATACAATACATTTATGAAAAAGTATCATTTCCAAGAATTCTCCTGACATCCTGCTAATGGGAACGTCCAGCTAATCAATATATACCGTGGGTGTCTCAACCAGGAAAGAGTGACATGACTTAGAAGGATATAATCACACATAATTTTTGTATCTTTTCTATTGA